TTTAACTCCAGCTCCAAGGGATCTATATTGGGTACTCTTCTACTGCTGTGATAAAACACCAGGACCAGGACAACTTAAAAGAAATGTTTAATTGGGTTTGCAGTTTCAGAGGGTCAGAATTCATCATAGCAGAGCTAAGACATGGAGGCAAGAGCAGATGAAAACTCATGTCTGGATCCACAGGTAGGAAACAGAGAACAAAATTTGAATTGTATGAGTCTTTTGAACCCTCAAAGTTCAATCCTGAGTGTCAAACTTCTTCCAAGAAGACCACACCCCCTAATCTTTACCAAACGAGTGGGGACCAAGTATTCAAACTGATGAGCCCGTTGTTCTCAGTCAAACACCACGGGATCTGATGTCCCCTCTGGTTTCCACAGACACTTACACTCGAGTGTGGGGTACACATGTGTACCAGATAAATAAGCCAGGCATGGTGGTACATAATGATCTCAGCACTAGGTAGATCTCTGAGTTCAAGGGCAGCCTGGTCTATAGACAGAGTTCCAAGACACAAAAACAAAACCAAACAAAAAAAGTAAGTAAATCGCTTTGTTTGTTTGTTTGTTTTTGCTTTTTTCAAGACAGGGTTTCTCTGTGTAGCCCTGGTTGTCCTGGAACTTACTCTGTAGAACTGGCTGGCCTTGAAATCATAGAAATCTACCTGCCTCGGCCTCCCAGGTGTTGCAACTAAAGGAGCCCATAACCATACCAAGGCCAAGAAAACAGACCTCCTCTATTAAAACTAAGATTTGGGCTGGGTGGTGGCACGTAACTTTGACCCAAGCACTCAGGAGGCAGAGGCAAGAGGATGTCTGAGATCAGGAGTTCAAGGCCATCCTTAGCTACATAGTTTAGGTCCAGCCTGGGCTAATGAAGCCCTGTCTCAAGCAGAAGGGATGAAGGCAAGAAAAAAAGGAAGAGGGGGGAGGAGAGGAAGGAAAATAAGGAGGAAGAGAGCATGGCAGTTTGGAGATTTGAAGCACATGTAACTAATCCTGCCAGAAATCTCTGTCGTCTTCTTGCCATGTGATCCACGATCTCCAAATGGGGAAACTGGACGCCTGGTCTACTCCTGGACACTAACCGTCGGCAGGATGTGCTGACTCCTGCTTTGAGCCTGCGGCTACTGCCCTCTACTGGTGGCCTTGGTTTGCACCCCACAGCCTGACCCCACACTTAACTACATTTATTTTTGTTATTTGACCTTGCAGATGGCCCAGTCTTCCAGAGAGTTTTTGAAACCCCACTCGCTGGTCTCAAGTACGTTTTTGTGCCTCTCGGTTTTTCAGACTCTCACAAATGTCCACCTGGCCCCTTTGATGCTCAGAGAGAGGTGAGCAAGCTAGAGTAGAGGCCAGTGACCCACCATGAAAGACCTGGCCCAGATTAGCCCCGATGCCAAGCCCGCTGGGAACGTGCCCCTGCAATGGCTATGCGAAAAAACAAAGATATTTAATTTTTAAAAAACTAGGATTAGCCGGGCATTGGTGGCTCAAGCCTTTAATCCTAGCACTCCGGAGGCTGAGGCAGGCGGATCTCTGTGAGTTCAAGGTCTACAGAGCGAGTTCCAGGACAGCCTCCAAAACAATACAGAGAAACCCTGTCTCAAAAAAACAAAACAAAACAAAAAAGCTAGGTTTAGTGAATAGTGCCTTTTTATCCAAACCCTAGAGGTGAAGGCAGGAGGATTGCTGTAAATCTGAGGCCATCCTGGGCTACATGGTGAGTTCTAGGGCAGCCTGGACTACATGATCCTGACTCTCAAAAAATTAAAAAAAAAGGAAACCAGCAGGGTGGAGGTCCTCAAGCACATGCCTTTAATCCCAGCACTTGGGAGACAGAAGTAGGTGACTCTGTGAGTTCAAGGCCAGCCTGGTATACAGAGTGAGTTCCAGGACAGGGTCCAAAGCAATGCAGAGAAACCCTGTCTCAAAGAACAAACAAGAAAACAAAAAGGAATGTCATCATGACACCTCCCAAGACCTAGGACGACAATTGATTTCACAGCGGAGACACAAAGAAGGGAAGAAATATTTAGAACCTTCAGCAGAGGTGTCCTGCTCATCCCCCTGCCTCAGAAGCTCTTTGAGTGAGAATCTTAGCTTTGGGGGATCAAACACTCGTCTTCCTTCCCCTCAGGCAATTTTGCTGATAAAATCACAAGTTCACACCAGTAGATAACCCCAGCACTTGGGAGGCAGAGGCAGGCAGATCTCTGTGAATGTGAGACCAGCCCGGACTAAACACGGAAACCCTGTTCTGAAAAAAACCAAAAGAGCCGGGGGCGGTGGTGGCGCACGCCTTTAATCCCAGCACTTGGGAAGCAGAGGCAGGTGGATCTATGCGAGTTTGAGGCCAGCCTGGTCTACAGAGTGAATGCCAGGACAGGCTCCAGAGAAACCCTGTCTCAAAAAACAAAACAAAACAAAAAACTAAAAGAGAGAGGGAGAGGGGAGGGGGAGGGAGGGAAGTCACAGGTTCACAGGACTGCCTCCATGTCTCGAGACTGGAATTCATCCTGAGGACACACATGGAGAATACCTGGGTTTGAAAACAAACAGAGGGGACCTAGAAGCAGGGACCCCAGTTCTGTTCCACTCAAGCAGTCCAAAGAGCCTTCAGGAAGGATAGATCTCTAACATCAAGTCCAGGCTGTGTGTTCTTGGACAAGGCATTTGCCTTCTCTGACCATTATCTATAATAGGGAAGTGTCCTCCTGTGTCTGAAGTGCTGTCTGGCAGGGGTTGGGTAACATGTCCAAACTCTCATTTGTGGCAGATGTCAAAAGACCCGCAGATGGCCGGGCGGTGGTGGCGCACACCTTTAATCCCAGCACTCGGGAGGCAGAAGCAGGTGGATCTCTGTGAGCTCGAGGCCAGGCTGGACCGACAGCCTCCAAAACAATACAGAGAAACCCTGTCTCGTAAAAAAAAAAAAAAAAAAAAAAAAAAGACCCGAAGATGCAGAAATCCCATGCACTGTGAGTATCCAGGCGTAGTTAAGCACACCTGCCACCTCAGTATCCAGACAGCTGAGGGGAGAAGTCTGAGAGGTCTGGGACAGCCTGGGATAAACAGAACAGCCTTGTCTGCAACCCAGAACACAGGCACCTGATACCACAAGTCCTCCTTCCAGAGGAGCTGTGAAAACTTGCCTTGCTGCTTCAGACGCCGCCCCAGGCAGCAACGGCCAGCCTGCCTCTCTTCCCAGGTTGTCCTGCGCAGCCAGGGGACTGGAGGGCATCCCCACCTTACCACCCACAAGGGAAGCCTCTCCCCCAGCGTGTGACCCCTAAGCAGCATTTTCAATCACTCTGTTTTTAACACCACATCAATGCCCGTGAGCACCATGGCAGTTACCATCTGTCACCTCTACCACAGCAGGGGTAGGAGACCCTGTATGTCTGGTGTCTGACAGAGAGGAAGGCATCCTATAGGGAAGGGCGAACTGCAAATAAAATCAGGAGAGTTCATTTGTGACCTTTAAATTTTATGTATGCAAACATTCGCCTGAATGGGTGGGTGTCTGTGTGTCATATCTGTGCAGTGCTCCTAGAGGCCGGGAGAGGGGTTGGATCTCCTGGGACTGGAGTTACACACAGTCGTGAGCTGTTGCACGGGTCTGAGAGTCCATCTGGGTCCTCTGCAAGGGCACCAGCGCTCTCGGTTGCTGAGCCAGTGCTCCCTATCTGCATCTTTGGCAACCTCATTTTTTTTTGTCTGTGCACACTTCAGTGGTGCTGTGTGTGCCACAGATGCGTGTGTGAAGGCCAGAACACAGTTCGTAGGAGTCAATGCTCTACTTCTTTCCCCATGCAAATTCCAGGGATCAAATTTAGGTCATGGGATTGGACGGCAAGCCATCTGAGGCATCTCGCCAACCACATTTGCAGCTTTAATTTATGCAGGTGGATTAAGGGAGGGAGGAATGGAGGGAAGGAGGGGTGGGTGGGTGAGGGGGCGAGTGAGGGGGTGAGTGGGTGGGTTGTTGGAAGGGTAGATGGGTGGCTGAATGATAGGTGTGTGGATGGATATTTTCAAGGTTATACCAAAGACTTCACACACAAGAGCTAATTTTAATCAACAGAAACCCTGGGATTAACGGAAATTTTATTTACAGTGTTTGAACATCTGCACCAGAAAATGTCACACCCTCAGGACTATCCAAGTTGAATCCTGTGGAGCAGAAAATCAGACTTAGGCGTGTCTATCTCCATACCCTGAGCCATTGTGGAAACACCTTTGCTCCATAGTGAGGGAGGATGTCCTTTTGTATATATGTTTATCTTTCTGGTTGACGAATAAAACACTGTTTTGGCCAATAGAGGCAGGAAGATAGGCAGGATTAGGAGACGAGGAGAATTCTGGGAAATGTAGGCAGAGAGAGACCACAAGAAGAGATGCCACCGGGCGGTGGTGGCGCACGCCTTTAATCCCAGCACTCGGGAGGCAGAGGCAGGCGGATCTCTGAGTTCCAGGCCGGGCTGGACCGATAGCCTCCAAAACAATACAGAGAAACCCTGTCTCGTAAAAAACAAAAAAAAACAAAAAACAAAGAAGAGATGCCATGTAGCAGAAGAAGGAGTAACAGATCCAGACCCTTCTCTGCTTAGATAAGACCACGTGGAAATCCTTAGATTAATAGAAATGAGTTAATAATTAAGAGAGAGCTAGCCAGCAAGAAGCCATCAGCCAACAGTTTTATAATTAACATAAGTCTTTGTATGCTCATTTGGGGCTGATGAGGCTGTGGACCAGGCTGAAAGGAAAGTCCGGCAACACAGTAGCCTTCCCACTAAGTGCCTAGAATGGCCACCATGTTCCCCTCTCACACACCCTGTTCCATGATGTCACCCAGGTTGGCCCTTTGTTTTCCTCCCTCATGACTGTCATGTTTGTCACCGTGCACTGAGTGTATATGTGGTTCAAAGGTGGCTATACCTATGCCTATACCTATACATACCCCTACCCCTACCCCTACCCCTACCCCTACACCTACACTACCCCTACCTCTACACCTACCCCTACCCCTACACCTACACCTACCACCTAAGGGTGGGGCCCACAGTGCTCTCTATGATACTCCTTACTTTCCCAGAACACAGTCCTGACCCAACTTGACTCTACAACACTCATGAATAGTCCCAGACGTGCAAGATACCAGAGAGCAAGCATCACGCTTCAAGCATCACGCTTCAAGCCGGTGTCGCATCAGCCACATAACCACCGTCCCACCCATCTACCCACCACCATATCACTGGTGTGGAGAAGCTGTGGTCCCGTAGGCAGGAGGAGGGCACAGGCCAGTCACACAGCATGCCAGGCAGCCCCCAGCCCTCAGTCATCAAAGTAGTGCTCAGAGCCACAAGAAAGTCCGTCTTGTGGCAACGGGGCATGGAGCGTGGAAGAGGGAAGGGAGAAGTGACCGCAAGTGTCCCAGACGATGTCCTGGTCCTCTGTCCTCAGAGCACAGCAGACTGGGTGGCTGTTTGGAGAGCAGAGACTCCAGCAGGGCTCAGCAGCTCTTGTCATTGTCCTGGATCTCCACATAGGGTAGCCCAATGAACCAGCTATCCCGGGGCCAGTAGTGAACTTTGAGGGTTTGACCTGGCATCTCGTAGTTGGCATCCATCAGGGCCATAGTCGCCATACCGTAAGGGAAGGTGATGCTTATGAGGACGTGCCTGTGAGTAAGAGAAGGGTGGTAAGAAATCGGCAGAAAGCCGGGCGTTGGTGGTACACACCTTTAATCCCAGCACTTGGGAGGCAGAGGCAGGCGGATCTCTGTGAGTTTGAGGCCAGCCTGGTCTACAAAGTGAGTTCCAGGACAGCCTCAAAAGCCACAGAGAAACCCTGTCTCGAAAAACCCAAAAAAAAAAAAAATCGGCAGATGGCCCCGCCCAGTCTTCGTGCATCCCCTGAGGATGCTGAGTGGTACCTATAGTTCCAGACTGCTGGCCCTGCCCTCTGCCCACCACCTCTGCGTCCCAGTATCTGGATCTGCTTCCCCTCCTACACCCCAGACCTCCACTCCAAGCTCTGGCATCTGATCTCTGACTTGGGGGTCTTAGGATCCAAAAGAGGTGTTTACCAAATGCTATGCAGGTAGGAGAAGTGAATCCGCTGCCAGAAACTGCAAAGTACTCGGTCGCTGATCCAGCTGGTTAGTGCGGTGGCCCATAAGATCACAGACACCTCAATCAGATGCCGGAGGTCCCCATTCCTGGTCCTGGGACAAAGAGAATGGCTGGGTTGGGGTGTGTGGGCAGATGGATGGACAGACAGATGGACAGATAGATGAATGAATAGGTGTGTGCCTGGATGGGTGGATGGATGGATGGGTGGGTGGGTGGGTGGGTGGGTGGATGGGTGGGTGGGTGGATGGGTGGGTGGGTGGATGGGTGGATGGGTGGGTGAGTATGTGGATGAGTGGGTGAGTATGTGGATGAGTGGGTGGGCATGCAAATGGATAGGTGGATGGATGGATGGTAGATGGAAGAGAGGGTTAATAGGTGCATCTGCACTAACACAGTGTCCTAAGGCATTGTCTTAAGAGGCTGATGGGAAATGCTTCTTCAGAGAGATGCATCTCATAAGTCGAGAGAGGGAGGGAGCAGAAGTGGTATTTTCTAGGGACCTGGATTGCTGTAGGTTGGCTCTGAGGTGTCCTCCAATGGCCTGTGTGTTAAAAGATCTGCCTTCACCTCTACTCTGTACGAAGCTGATGGAACCTTTCAGAGTTGGGGCCTAGATGAAGTCTTTAGGTCACTTATAATGTGTTCTTTTTGTTTGTTTGTTTTTTGAGATAGGGTTTCTCTGTGTAGCTTTGTAGACCAGGCTGGCCTAGAACTCACAGATATCTGCCTACCTCTGCCTCCCAAGTGCTGGGTTTAAAGGTGTGTGCCACTATTGCCCTATAATGTGTTCTTGAAGGGGATTGTGAGTGACCCAAGTCAATAGGGTCAACCAATCAGTACCCAAACCTCTAAAACAGTCAGTCCAAACAGCAAACAGACAGACAAAAACAATTGCCTAAATCAGGTTCAGAAAGACTCATTTGTCATCCCAGAACCTGGGAGACTGAGGCAGGATGACTGAGATTTTGGAGGCCAGCCTGGGCTACATAGTGAAGTCCTTTCTTTAAAAAAAAAGAAAGAAAGAAAGAAAGAAAGAGCCGGGTGTTGGTGGTCCATGCCTTTAATCCCAGCACTTGGGAGGCAGAGCCAGGCAGATCTCTGTGAGTTCGAGGCCAGCCTGGTCTACAGAGCCAGTTCCAGGACAGCCTCCAAAACAATACAGAGAAACCAAAAAGAGAGAGAGAGAGAGAGAGAGAGAGAGAGAGAGAGAGAGAGAGAGAGAGAGAAATTACAGTGATTCTTGCTGTCTGTCTCTTTTTCTCTCTCTGCCTCTCTTTGCATCTCTGTCTCTATCTCCTTCTGCATCTAATTGTCTGTGTCTATGTATCTCTCTCTCTCTCTCTCTCTCTCTCTCTCACACACACACACACACACACACACACACACACACCACATCTGCCTGTATGTTCCATGCTTGCTTCAAACTCCTAGGCTAAACTAATCCTTTCGTTCAGCCTCCCAGGTACCTGGGTCAGTGCAGGCCTGTGTCCTGTGGGATCTTGTGGTGCTAATCTTAACTCTTCATGCTGTCTCAGCTGTGCTACGACACCAGCAGGAAGCTAGCAGTGGTGCCTATTGTGTGCTAACAGCTAAAACTCACTAAGATGTGTGTGAGAGAGAATGGGGTGCAGCACACTTTCCGGTGGCCTCGCCTTGAGACAACACAAGACCAGAATCTGGGTCCCTGGTCATCAGAGTCAAATCCTAGTCCCCAGGACAAGCATGTTCTGGAGTTGAATGAGAGATCCATCCTTTATCAACAGACACACAGGCTCTGCCTGCTCACCCCATGGTGAAGTCATTCACTTGACTCTCTGACTGGTGGCTTCCATTTGGTTTGAGCAATGCCTTCTGCATCAGTTTGGGCAATGGATTCCAGGTGGCTTGCCTAACAGTTTTCGTTTGTGTGCTCTATGGTTTCTTGGCATGAACAATGGCTTTCTAATTGGGTTGGCCTGTAGTTTACAGTGTATGTGACCTATGCTTGCTAGGAATTTCACTTTGGAGTTCCGGATGGCTTGACCTATGATACACAGTCAATTCGACCCATTTTATGCAGTTGGCTTGATCTCTGGGACACAGTTGACTAAACCTGTGGATTCCAGTCAGCTTGAGCTATATATAGTTCACTGTTGACTTAACTTAGGGTTCCCTGTTGGCTTGGCCTGGGGGTCGCTGTTGACTGAGGGTTCCCTGTTGGCTTGGCCTGTGGTTCACCAATGGTTTCCATTTGGTTTGACTATAGTTTCCAGTATGGTGAGCCAGTGCTTTCTGCTGGGACTGGCCATTGATTTCCAGTTGGCTTGGCCAATGTGGAGTCCCAGCAGGAGCTGGAAGGATCGGAACAGGGACCTGTAGAAGGACATTCTCCTTCACCACCTATGGCTTCTCAAGCCAGGTGTCCCAGCAGCTAGAGGCAAAGATTCTGCCAAGGAGGTGCTGGCCCTGAGGATTACTCGATCCAATTCAAGTCAGTTTAGCTGAGTTTAGGTGGGCTGCCCTCGAATTTACCATGTAGCCCAGGCTGGGCTGAAACTCATGATCCTCCTGCCTCAGGATCCTGCACTCCCCTGCTTTCTTTTCTATTTTGCAGTCCCTCCCTCTTGCCCTGATCCCTAGTACCCTTGGCTCAGGTCTCCCAATACTCAGAGAATCCCACCCACTTACCACAAGGATCCAGTCCCGCTCTCGGGAATTTTCACCACTCTGCCCTCTCTTTTTGTAAAGAATCTCTCCCTCTCTCTCTCTCTCTCTCTCTCTCTCTCTCTCTCTCTCTCTCTCTCTCTCTCTCTCAGTTGGCTCTATTGAGTAGCCCTGAATCACTGAGGCCCAGCATGAGTTACAAATACAAAACTCTATCATGGCTCTAGTTCAGTGTTCATGAGGCCCTAGGTTCAGTCACCAGCACTTGGGGCAGGGTGAAGGGAACTATAATTATCAAAAAAAGTTAAATTCCGCTTTAATATAGGGGCAGGCAGAGACAGGAGGAGTTCTGGGAGTTCTAGGCAAGCCTAGTCTATATAGAGAGTTCCAGGGCAGCCAGGGCTCCACAGTGAGACCCTGTGTCAAAACACGGAACTAAACTAACGTGTGTAAGGGTGAAGGAAAAGGGAAAGGAGGGAGGGGTCTGTGAGCTGGATATGGTGGGGCACACCTGTTTGTACGGCCAGGGGGGAGGAGGAACAGGGATTCAAGGTCCTTCTCTGCTTCACAGCCAATTCTGATGCAGGGGGGGCATGAAACCCCAAAACTAAAAATTAAAAAAAGATGGCTCAGCAGGTAAAGGCGCTTGCCACTAGCCTGACAACCCCAGTTCAATGGGCAGGACCCACGCCTTGGAAGAAGAGAACTGGTTGACCTCTGACCTCCACACATCGCCGTGATGCACGAAAATAAAAATGAATAAATTAATATAAAGCATGCAGACAACGTTTGCAGGCAGAGTGCTCTGAAGCCCTTTCTGTTAGCGGGTCACATGGGGAATGGGCGCCCCCTGCAGGAGACTGCAGTCAGGGAACGCTCAGAGCACAGAACACCGAGAACAACATTGTGCAGGGCTCCAAGGCAGAACAGTTGCCTTTCTCCTAGGTAGCTATAACCACCACTCACTTTCTGAAAAGCATTAACAATTACTTTTTTACGGTGCTGGGAATAGAACCCATATACAACTACACGTTAAGCGGGGGCTTTATACTTAAACACCCAGTCCCTCACTGGGGGATTCTAGGCAGTGGCCCCACCCCTGGCCACGCCCCCAGTCCCTCTCTAGGTGAAGGCTCCACTCCTGACCATGCCCCCGCCCCCCGCCAGCCAGCACTCACTTCTTGTATTCTTTGTGCACAATGTAGAGAATGTGTATGGCGATGCTGTTAAGAGCGTAGGCGTTGACCGTGGGCTTCACAAACGTCAAGAAGGTGCTGATCATAGTGGTCGTAATTACGAGGCAGCTGAAGTAGTACCTGAGGGAGGAGTAGGATGGGCAGGTGTCGCAGAGGTGCTGGAGGATTCAGCGAGGTCACTTTGGGCAGTCAAAATGAATTTGACAAACCGGGAACTCTGGGGAGTTCAGCTGGACTCAGGAAGAGTCTCTGGGTTTCCCCAGGTCCGCTGAGGAAGGACAGAGAACCCAGAGGAACCAGACAAGAGCTAAAAAGAGTCTGAGGTGGACTGGGAGGGTGAAAAGGGAGTCAGAGGATTCAAGAGGCCTGGAAAGGTCAGGTGAGGGCTTCCGGGAAGCTTGCAGAGCTCAGAAGACAGGGAAAAGACATCAGCGTAAGGATCGTGAGGGGTTTTTTTGGGTGCAGAGGACATTTGGCATAGGTTCTTAGAATTCCTCTCCTCCCAGGTAGATTAGAATTAGGAAAAAGTTCCTCAATTTCCAGGTGGTAACAGGACAGGTCTGTGGAAGCCCAGGTAGGCTATGAAAGATCTGCGAAACTTCTCAGGAAGGGACTCGAAGCTCTCTCAGATGGTCCCAAGTTGAGCAGGGATAGGGGAAGGCCATATGGGGTCCACAGAGGGTGCAGCTGCTGTACCTGCTCCCCTGGATGAACTTGGGGAAGTAGCATCGGGGCAACCACACGCTGTAGCCACTGGCCAGCAACCACAGGATGGAGATCTCATCTAGCAGCTGGCCCAGGAAGCTGAGCGTCATGTGGAAATACATGGAGAACAGACCTGTGGGTAGGCGGAGACAAGCAGAGGCTGTCAAGAGGGGGCGCCATTCCCAGAAGGGCCCCACAGCTTCCCACGCCCGCGCGCACCTATGACCATGAAGAGGGCTGAGATTCCGTAGATGGCCCGGCTGCGCTTCTGGGCGTAAGGATGCATGAGAAACATTATGAGAGGCCCGAAGATGAAGAAGGACACATTGCTGAACTGCGAGTGAAGCAAGAACCCGGCTGGTTAGATGGGAACGGGGCAGGAGCTCACTTAGGGCTAACCCGTAGCTGCTCTATTATTAGGCTGTCCAGGAACGACCCGGGATTTGTTCATCACTCAAATGTTAACTTCCCAGAACATCTTCTTGATTTTTGACTCAGAGTCTCACTATATGATTCTGGCTGTCCTGGAGGTCACTATGTAGACCAGGCTGGCCTCCAACTCATAGAGATCCACCTGCCTCTGCCTATAACAGAGTGCTGGGATTAAAGGTGTGTGCTGCCAATGTCCAGCCCTCCCTTCATTTAAAAAAAATGTTATTCATTAGCATTACTGGCCTTTAATCCTAGTATTCAGGAGACAGAAGCAGGTTGATCTCTCTGAATTCAAGCCAGTTTCATCTGCATAGAGAATTCCAGGCTGCCAGGGCTACACAGTGAGACTCTGTCTCAACAAACACACACACAAAATCATCATTGTTACTAATGGAACCCTGAACCTTTGACAGCCCACTAGGAAAGACCATGCCCCCAGCCCCTCACTTGGGCGTTCTAGGCGGGGGCTCTACCTCTGAGCCAATTCCTTGCCCCCCACCATTGATCCTGGCCATTCCTGGGTCACCAATAGATCCTTCATTCTACCCATCATCCCGTTTGTTCTTTCATTTACCCAGTGAGGGGAGCACTGAGCACTCACTAAATCTTTCACAAATGCTCTTCTCCATTTTCCCCTCACGGAGAAAGTCTAAATCTGTGGGTTCAGTAACTGCACATTAAAAACATTCAAGACAGGCATAGTGGTGCAGGCCTTTAATCCCAGCACTCAGGAGGCAGAGGTAGGTAGTTCTCCAAGTTTGAGGCCAGCCTGTTCTATATAGTGAGTTCCAGATGTGCCAGGGCTATACAGTGAGACCCTGTTTTATAAACCAAGCAAGTATATATACATGTATTTCGGAAATTTTCACTGTGGTGCTGCATGCCTGTAATCTCACAGATCAGGAGGCTGAGGCAGGAGGACTGCTACGAGTTCCAAGCCATCCTGGGATACAGTGAAAGACCCTGTCCGGTGTAAGACCCTGTCTCCAACAGAGAGACAAGCAAAATGCAGCAGCACCTACGCACTCATGTCATCCTAGGAGAAGGCTGTGGAAAGGATATTTAAAACTACGGGAGGATTGCACCGGCTCTAAGCTGAATTTGCAGCATTGTATAAAAGGGACCTGAGGGCCTACGTGAGGGCTTGGCAGGTGAAGGTGCTTGCTGCTAAGCCTGAGGACCTGAATTAGAACCCTAGAACCCACACAGTGAAAGGAGAGCGGACTTCTACAGATCGTTGTCTGATGCTCCTGCCAGCACTCCCTACTACAGTGCCTCCAACTGAGAGCCAAAATAAACTCTTTATTAACTTGCTTTTGCCAGCTGGGCAGTGGTGGCGCACACCTTTAATCCCAGCACTCTGGTGGCAGAGGCAGGCAGATCTCTGTGAGTTCCAGGCCACCCTGGTCTGCAGAGCAAGTGCCAGGACGGGTTCTAAAGTTACACAGAAAAACCCTGTCTCAAAAAAAAAAACAATAAATAAAAAATAAATAAGTAAAATTGCTTTTGTCAAGCATTTTGTCCCAGCAACACGACAAGTAACCGCACAAGTTTTAACCACGCAAGTTCCCTGCCACCATCCTCCCTTCTTCCCCCTCCGCTAAACAATGATGTGGCCCCGGCATGTACAAGGTAAATCCTAGAGACTAACAACACCTTAGGCACACTCATCTGAGTCTCTACTTTCTTCTATTGTAGCCAAAGTATTTGTCAGGCTCCCTTGCAGCTACACACGGCCATGTGACTTAGTTCTGGCCAGCGAGACGCAAGCATAACCATAGCTCCCAGGTCGTCACTCTCCACGTCTTGTCACTCCCCTCCTCTTCCCCCTTTTTCCCATCTCTTCTTCCTTCCTTCCTTCCTTCCTTCCTTCCTTCCTTCCTTCCTTCCTTCCTTCCTTTGTGGGATGGGGGTCTCACTCTACAGCCCAATCTGGCCTTTGGGTAAACAAGACTTCCAACTCAGTCTTCTGAGTGCAGATGTTACAGACGTGTGCTGCCTTGGGAGTTGGGACGGCAGAGCAGAAGGGTAGAGACGGACTGGCAGGAGGGCTGAGCAGGTAAAGGTGCTTGCCGCCTAGGCCGTGTCCCTAAGTTCCATGCCCAGGTAGAAAAAGAAAATCGACGCACGAAAGCACTCCTCTGGCCTCCACGTTTCATGCTGTGGTGCACATGGATGTGTGCGTACACATACAAACTACTAAGGAAGGAATCAAGCAGTGTTTTTGTTTTATTTTCCTTAGTGCTATGAGACAGCCCAGGATGACCTCGAAAGGACAGCAGGTGGCACCACTGTGCCTGGCTGAACCTAGCAATTTGGAGGTGTTTTTGAGTCACAAAGGACCTTCAGTTTTAGAACCACCTACTTGAGGCTGGAAAACGGCTCATCAATTGAGATCATTTTCTGAAGAGGTTTGGTCCCAGCACTCACATGGCGGCTAGCAACCAGCTGTGACTCCAGTTCGAGGGGATCTGATGCCCTCTGCTGGCCTCTGCTGGTACTGCATGCACAGAGTGCACATAGCATACATGCAGGCAAAACACTCATACCCATAAACCAAAATAAATAAATCTACAAAATAAAGAACCATCTACTTCCAGACCACTTCCATACCTTCCTCCTTGCCTCTCTGCTTTCCTCTGGTAAGCCAGGGTCTCTCACTGAGCCTCTCCATGTCTGCTAGACTGCCTGCCTGAAAAATCTCAGGATCCATTAGTCTCCTATCTCCGGTGCTGGGGTCATGCATGCTCAGCTATGCCCAGATTTTTAGACAGGTGTTGGGGATTCGAATTCAGGCTCATACTGTAGGAGGAAGCCGTGTGCCACCATTAGCCATGTGACTTACTAGAGGCACATACAGATGAGGTAATAAAAGAGCGGTTTACCACATCGCTAACCACCCCACTTTAGGCATGACTAAAGACGTATACGGACGTAGGCAGTGAACTACGTCACTAGCCAGGCCCACTTTTGGGCATGGCTAGGGGTGTTACAGAGTGGGGAAGGTATAAAAGACTGAACAACGGAAGTCTTGGCCCCTTTTTCCGGCTTTCAGCTTCCGGTTCCGCAGTGGGGGGGCTACTCGGCTCATCTGGGTTACTTGTTTGGTCTCTTGTGAGTAATTTCTACAATAAATACTTAGTTTTACTTTCAGTAAGTGTGTCGTTTATCGTTGTAGCAACATCATACACTTGAAGAGAATGCTTACCTCCTGAACCATCTCTGTATCCCCTGGAGTTTTGTTTTTTTTTTTTTGTTTGTTTGTTTGTTTTTGTTTGTTTTTTATGAGACGGGGTTTCTCTGTATTGTTTTTGAGGCTGCCGGTCCAGCCCGGCCTCGAACTCACAGAGATCCGCCTGCCTCTGCCTCCTGAGTGCTGGGATTAAAGGCTGCGCCACCACTGCCCGGCCCCCCTGGAGTTTTAATTGAGTCATAATTAATATGTGTGGGTGCCAGGTCCTGCACATCCTAGTGCTGGCAACTTGACTGGAGTCATAAGGAAAGCAAGAAAAAAAGACAGACACACAGACACTTACAGAAAAGCTGGGACCAGGTGGGCCCTGCCTTCTGCACCAGAAACAGTCAAGATATTCAAGCACGCAGGCCGGGCGTTGGTGGCGCACGCCTTTTATCCCAGCACTTGGGAGGCAGAGGCAGGTGGATTTCTGTGAGTTTGAGGCCAGCCTGGTCTACAAGAGCTAGTTCCAGGACAGCCTCCAAAGCCACAGAGAAACCCTGTCTCGAAAAACAAAAAAAAAAAAAAAAAAAAAAAAAGATATTCAAGCACGCTTATTTTTATTTGTCTTATCAGAGCACTGGCTGCTGCTCTCCCAGAGGACCCAGGTTCAATTCCTGGCACCCACATGGCAGCTCACAACTGTCTGTAACTCCAGTTCTAGGGTATCTAACACCCACCCCCTCACACAAACACACATGTGGGCAAAACGCCAATGCACATAAAACAGAAAAATAGAATAAATGTTTAAAAAAGAGAACCTGGCAGCTGTGGAGATGACCTGTAATCCCAGCTACTCCAGAGGCTGAGGCAGAAGAAACCAAGATGAAGGGTGACGGCTTTGGGAGCCCCAGAGAGTTTAATGGATGAAGTACTTGTGCATGAAGATGCGAGTTCAAACCCCCAGAACCCATGCAAACCTAGCCTGGACAGTGTGCAGGTGGGATCCTGGTCTCTTTTGGAGCGGCAAGAATCAGAGACTGGAGAATTGCCAGAAGCGTGCCAGCCCGGCGTACTCGGCTCAGTGGCAAACGACAAAGAGAGGCACCTCTACGGGGAGGACGGCAAGGATTGACACAGGGGTTGTGCCCTGATGTGTACACATGTGCCATGGCGTGTGTGACCCACATCCACACATGTCCACAGCTGCACACACACATCCACATATATAATGCACGTATGTATGTATGTATGTATGTATGTATGTATGGTCTCCAGTATCTATATGTGACGTGTAATACAGGCGTTGGGTCAGTGCAATGGCTAAGCAGGTAAAGGTACTTGCTACCAAGTCTGATGACCTGAGTTTGATTCCTGGAGCCCACATGGTAGAAGGAGAGAAGCAACTCCCATGGCTACATGCACCCCTTGGCATGTGCATGCGTGTACATACACACACACACACACACACACACAAATAAATAAATAGGAATAATTTTAAAAATACAGGCTGGGCGCTGATGGCACACACATCTTTAATCCCAGCACTCAGGAGGCAGAGGCAGGCAGATCTCTGTGAGTTTGAGGCCAGCCTGGTCTACAGAGTGAGTTCCAGGACAGCCTCCAAAACAATACAGAGAAACCCTGTCTCAAAACAACAACAACAACAACAAAAAACACCCATGCTCATTTAAGCAAGTGGGTCACAAGGTAAGAGAAAAATGATC